TATGCAGATTAAAATAATGTAAGTACTTATTTGCTCCCTGAAAGGAGAATAGCCAATACTATCTTCTGGGTGATCTTTCCGTCAGTTCGTCCGTCCGTCCGTCCGTCAGTTCGTCCGTCCGTCAGTTCGGTTTAGATCTCTTTAAGGAAATCCGACATCATGATATTTTAGACCTTACATAGTTCTGATGCATCGGCATTTTTTTTTTTTTTTTTTTTCTGAAAGCGAAAAAAAATAATTTAAAATCAAGTATGCAATAAGTTTATTCATAAATTTACACCACATTTCAATGAAAAAAATCAAGGGAGGTAATTTTTTAAAAAAGGTCAAAGACTTGTTCATTAATAACTCAATCTTCATTTATAGATTCGCACATTGGTACAAAAAACAAACATACAAGGTCACAATGAGAAGCGTGGTAGAGGCATAGTACGCTTGAATTTGGCTTGGCTTGGTTACCTATTAAGCGGCCTCGAGGTTCGACACCCGACTCGAGCAGAGTTGTGTTTACTGAGCGCCTAAAGGCAGCACGGACAGCCTACTCCAAGATGTTACTATATACCACTGGTCCACAAATGAGATTGGACCATAGCGCTCTGAGCATGCTATAAGCATGAAAGTAGCACTATATAAAAGCCATAATTTAATTTATATGATTATTTCTGTGCTTTTGACGTATTGTTTTTAGAAACCTATTACAACACTTTGTATGTTACCTAAAAGTTCAATGATGGGGATTTGCTTCGTTACTGCAATTATTTTGATCTCTGACCTACCGGTTCCCTTGGCGTTTGTGACTTTTAAAATTGGTAAGCTACTCAAGTACTTTCCCAATAGGCTCATACAACATTTATCACGAGGTACTTATGTGGTCTGCTAAAGTGTGACAGATACATTAGACATGTCACATTTTAAAGAAGACTTAGAGTGTAAATGTTTATGGGAAGAACAGTGTGATAATTGCTGGTCCTTTTGTCTGACTTGTAAGTGGGGGCTTTAATGTGCATGTCAGATGTTCGCGTTGTTTCCAAGTCGGAGGTCCATGGTTCGAGTCCTTGTTTTAGCGTATGTTTCACTGTATTTTCTTCATCTCTTTTCACTAACCACTCTGACTCCGTGCTGCTGTTAAATTTTGCATGTTATCTTCAGTCATTACTTGTTTCAAACTCTGTCTGTTTGATTAGCTAAACACATGTACGTATAGTGTTATACATTATTTGAGATCACTATATCTGCTAATTTGTTGCGTCTTATTTTACATTCATATGTTGTAAAATTATGTAAATACCTTTTTTTTCCTTTACAGATGAACAACACAACCTTAACAGACTACCCTGCTACTCAAATCATAGACCAGTACGTCACGCCGGTCATTGTGATTATTGGTCTCCCTGGAAACATCTTATCCCTGATTATCTGGATGCAAAAGCGCATGAGACACTCTTCTGGATACTACCTTGCTGCCTTGGCCCTGGATGATCTGATCTTCCTGCTTCTGTCCATTGTATTTGAAATCCACAACACATGGCATATCAAAATACTGGACGTCCCGGTTTTATGTGAGGCCTTCCCCGTCGTATTTCTTCCGACTCAATATCTGTCTCCGTTCTTTGTGTTGGCGTTCACCACGGAGCGTTACATATCCATCTGTCACCCTTTCAAAAGGGAAAAGTACTGCACAATAAAGCGCGCGAAGATCGTCATCATCAGCCTTGTCGTTTTCGTGCTGTGCCTCTGCTCGCCCATGGGGTACTTCTTCACGATGGCAGAGGATTGTACACTAAGGAAAACTGTGCTCGACGGCTACCCAAAGTCTGTTTACAACATTTACACCCTCACGATGGATTTATTCTGTTTCTTCTTGGTTCCAATGACTGTCTTGGTCATGAATATCCTCGTGATTGTCGAACTTCGGCGCCTGACGCGGATGGAGTCTGCACAGCTGCACGGCTCGCCGCAGAGAACCGCAGCAACAACTGTGACACTGCTGGCTGTTTCTTTCTACCAGATTTTTACGACTCTTCCCGTTTCCATTGTCTACACTCTGTTTATGGAATTCGTTGTTGAAGATGGTGAAACTGACCCAATTGTCTATAAGAGACACTATACGTACAATTTGGTGATGGCTATCATAAAAGAGTACGGCATCACGCATTACGCCTTCAACTTCCTCATCTACATCATCACAGGGAAGATGTTTAGACAGGAGTTGAGGCGGCTCCTCCTCAGGCCGTTTAGCAAACTCGGCCTGACGTTGACACGAGACTATACCAGCCTGACAGGGAGCACCAGGGTCGCGAACGAATCCAGTAGAAAGTGGGTCTCCACCAATGGCAACCACAAGGAGCCGAAGAGTGTTGCTGATGAGACTTTGCTTTAGCGTGACCTCCTTAGGGTTCTGAACTCAATTTACAACATAGTATTTTAACATGAAATGTGCCAAATCGTCCTCCAACGTCAGCCATTTGTCTACTTCATATTCTTTCTTTCTTGTTGCTTGTACTTTTTGTTTTTGTTCAGTGATACGACAGAAAGTTCTAATATGCAAAACCCGAAACCGCCTACAAGTTTGAACACTGATGCTTTCCAGAGAGGAACAATAATCTTTTTGTATTTGTCGCCTTATGCATCACATTCATTCATTGTAATGGGTGAGACAATCGTATGAACTGTTTTGTCGTTGTAAACAGACTATGTGTAATAACTTAACCAGAAAGCGATAACTACTGTTTTAATTCTAAAAAAAAAATTTATTTACTGGGCAAGGGTAATTTAAGAATTCTCGGTTAAATATTCAAAACCAATAGATCCCTTCCCTAAATCATGACTGCTTTTTTTCTAAAACACCTGCTCTCTATCTATTTTGTTTTTTTTTTCTCTGGTGGCATTACATGTGTTGCATCGTTAATAAATAGTGTCATGCACTATGTCAAATTGACTTGTATATCAAAAAGTAAAACTTTACCATCGACCAATTCCTCATTGAGACAGTGCTGATTTGAAGTCACACTTTTTTTGTTTTACTTGCTTGTCCCCCCAGAAATAAAACTTCGCACAGTTCAAACGAACCATTTGCTGTGCCAGCCCCCACTCCACACAATTAGACATCTTACAGCAACGTACAAAAAATATTATTAACGTATAAAAACTTCATCCATTTTTTAATACTGTCCTTTTTAATCGATTGATTTTTGTGTAATCGTTTCTAATTTTTTCAAATTTTGGTCAATCAAAATTTATAGTTTCAAGTCAAATGCTCAAGCCAATATTTCAAATCAATAACTAATCAAGGCGCTTTATTTCTAAAGTGCGATGACATAAAAAAAAACTAGTTACTATTCTTTGAGTTGTTAGATCGTAATGCAATATTTTAATGGGCACTTGAACTCTAGAACTTTATTAGTTCAAAAGTTATTTGAACTCATGTTGACACTATAATTCCTGGATTAGTTTGTCAGTTAAACGACACATCATAGAGTTAAGCTTCTTCCTAACTTTAATATGGGACTGCGTACTTTTAAAGATGAGTAATGTGATCGTCTACGGTATATATTAGTGCACAAAACTGTTGAATCCAACTATTCCACTAGAAAGGTTGTCATTCGTGTATAACTTATTGGTAATAGCAATTCCTGCTCTCTTGAATGTCCAGGAATGCTATGTGGACCAAAGTGCCCTGAGCTTGCTAAAAATAAGATGATAGCATTTCCATATGAACTATCGTTTTCATCTTGATCTTTATTGCACTGTATACGGGGGATCTATATTGGGGATCTAAATTGGGGATCTTTGTTTGTTGGTGTAACCTAGTTTAAGTTGAATCAATGGACCCCACAAATGAGTTGAATCAATGGAACCACAAAGATTTAATGCCTACACACTATAGCTATTGAAAGTTAAACTCTGCAGTGGGTTTTACCAGTGATAAGTCGCCCTGGGCAAAACATTTTGCAAGTACCCATTAGTTGTAGCCAACTTTGTTATATGTATGTTTTTTTTTCTTTGTAAACACATGTATGTTTAAATAGTAATTTGGTTCCTACATTGGCTTTTCATAGAAGAGCCTTTATATCATATTTTATCGCTTAATTTAAACTGGGAGTTTGAGTTTCGGGAGTTTAGGACACACCCCTGAGTCCACTCAATCTGATCTAAAGTCGGTTGGTGTTGTGCTAGTTGGTAATAGAAACAGATGAGTTTGAAAAGAGTAACTTCAATTTTTTAAAATTATTTTTTTGGTTACTAGAGCCATCTAACAAAGAATACCTAAAATGATATCTATATATTGCTGCAAAGTGACAGGCAACTACTAATGTGTTTGTAATTGCTGTTTAATAAACTAAACAGAATATTCCAATTTTAATAAGAATTTCATTTTAGTAATTATTGCTTAAGTTTGGGATCATAGTTTTTTTTTCTTATACATTTTAGATGCACTAAAATGATGGGCCAATAAAGCAAACATCACGGGCCCCACTGTGTATGATATTGCTGAGGCTCTTAATACAAACTATTATGTCCAATAGTGCATTAGTCCATCTAAAAGAAGCTTAAAAGTTAAAATGCCAAAATTACTATGTCGTATAGTGTTTAACTATATGGTATAATGTTTAACTATATGGTATAGTGTCTAACTATATGGTATAGTGTTTAACTATATCTTATTGTGTTTTTAACTAGAGCCTGTAATGTCCAGCAAGCTTATAATTGTTGTAATTTCTGGAACAAAATTCGTGTATGTTTAAATTGCCCTATGAGGTTAGATGTAAAGTTGCATAATAAGAAGTTATTCGCATATAAGTGGATTTGTGATTCATTCCTTTTGTGTATGTGTTTGTTTGTGTGTGTGTGTGTTGAGCCCTTACCTATTTAAAATGTAAGCATAAGACGTGTGCATATAAGTTGTTATAGTGTATACAAACAGAAGACATTGGCTTTGTCTGCGTGGTACAGTTTACTTTGTCCAAGTTTAAGTGTTCGCACAAACAATGCTCTAATGGGGGGGGGGGGGGGGGGATGTGTATTTTGGTATGTATTTGACTCAGTGTAGTGGTGAATTCAATCCCTCAACCTTCTCACACCAAACACACAGTCTCTTGCCATACACTCACCCCAATACAATGTAACTTGCATCTATATGAAGTGCATGCTGGTGTGTACACAATAGACATCTGAATGATTTTGTGTAATATATAGTTATGTCAGTGTAGTTGAATTGCTCACTAAAAGTTGTATAATTAACTGAACATAAAACGAAGATTGATTTCTTAGCCTAAGCAATACGTTTTATTTTGTGCGCGAGTGTGCCGTCCATTATCATTAATTGACTTAAGATGTTTTGCTTCAAACTGATTTATTATAAAATTGCAATTTTTTTTTTTAATTGTGTATTATAAGGATTATAATTTAATATATTGCGTAAAAGCTAGACTTATTTCTCCTTTTGTATATTTATCTCCCTATTAAGAACCGCTATTGCCAACTATCAAATACATTTGTGTGATATTATTTTGAAACATTTGAGAGAGTACCTATGTTTCTCAAATATAAATGTGTGTAAAAAAAAATTTTTCTCTAACTTTAATATTAGCTTTACAGAATATGCAGAGAGAAGTCAACCAAAAATCCCAATAAGGAAGTTTTTTGTTCAATAAAATGTTAACCCTAGTCTAAGTTTCATCAGATATGAAATATCCATCCAATGTAGTCTTCCTCTTCCTCTACTCACATGTATCCATCCAAAGAAAAAGAATTTGGCATTTAGGTTTTTTGTACGTTCTATCTGGACTTGTTCATCGCTTTGCAGCTGCCTTCTTGCCTTCTCCAATGCTTCATGATATGGAAACGAAGTTGCTTGAAATTCTGTCTCAGTGACCCGTTGGCGTGCTCATTTTGTACAGTTTTGATTCAATGACCTGCTTTTTCTTCAGTTGTCTACACTAGACTCGTGTCAGTCAATTCTACAGCTCTGTCTATCTTCTGTAGAAGTGTCTTTCTAATATGTCAAGCGTCAGTCTAATCAACAGCCTCGCCTACGTTACAGTAGTGTCTGTCTTATGTTGAAGTCTATGTCTAAAATATAAAGTGTCTGTCTAATATGTAAAGTGTCGGTCTAATCAACAACCATGCCTAGTTACAGTTGTGTATGTCCTCTGTACATGATGTCTACAAGACAACCGGGACAGTGATGACAATGTCTGTGATGTACCGTAATGCATTTTACATTCAATGTTTCACTCATAATAATCGCAACTCATATTTTTGATTATCATCTACTCAATGTAAATATACTAAATAAAAAAAAATTGTACTATACGTGTAGATATGTGTACATACGAAACTAAATAACTATTTATGCTGTACACCTAATTGTCTAGTTAACTAACACTGCAAATGTGCGCAAAAGTTACACTAACCCAAGGACGAGAGAAGGCTCATGGTTTTTTAAACTCAAGGCTTCTGTTCTTGCTTACATGAGCATCACATATCTAGTCTATGTGACAGTAGTGCAGGTAAAACACTAACTAAATGACATGTGCAAACATAGATGGATCTAAATGCATGATGTAAACAACCAATCAGCTGATAACACGTTGACCTATTCATATCTTATTTAACATTATTGTCTAATGATGCTACATTGTTGTTGAAAACAAATTAGTAATAATTAAAAAAATATTTGTAATTGAAAATCATTTTCGTTGATGTTTTTTTCCCTAACATTTGTCTTAGTAGAGTTGTTATTTATTGAAATTATTGAAGAGTGACAAAGCTTACAAAAGTTTTCATAAATAAAAGAATGCATATTTATTTCTTGTCGTGAACTACAAGTAGTAGGTTAAATAAAAGAGTGTAACATGTGACCAGACTTTGGAAACGTGAAGAGATAAATATGGGAAGAGAGAAACGTCAACGAAATGGTGTCATGGTCAAACTATGAACACGTTTGACTGGAGATCCCGAGGACTATATTGACCAGGAAGGAGTGAAGATCCTGAGGACTACATTGACCAGAAATGGGTGAAGATCTTGAGGACTACATTGACCAGGAATGGGTGAAGATCCTGAGGACTACATTGACCAGGAATGGGTGAAGATCCTGAGGACTACATTGACCAGGAATGGGTGAAGATCTTGAGGACTACATTGACCAGGAATGGGTGAAGATCTTGAGGACTACATTGAATAACAGGTTTCTTTGTTTCTTCACAACAGTTTCCCTTCGGATCAACTTTCTAACAAGTTTGAATGGACGAGGGAGATTACTGAAGGTCTAAGACATAGAACATTTAAAAAAAAATAAAACAAGAACATAAAATGAAAATCCTTGTTAACTTTGATTAGATCAACATTATAATTCACTTTTGTAGCAAATTCATTATCATTTAAACTAAAATAAAATGTTAGATTATATAATTAAAAAAATGTGACGTTAGTTTTAGTAACTCTATCCTCCACTCCCTTTTGCAGATTTGTGTTCGTCCCAGAAAATTAAATTCCCTTTTTTTTTTTTACAAAAATAATTCACATTGAAAGAGAATATTTTAAAAAAATAAATAAACAAAGAGCATACAGATAAAATGCTATTCAACTTTGGTTAGATCAATATTAAAATATGCGTTCTGAGTTTGGGACCCACAACTCAAGAAAACAATGAAACTAAAACAGACGCAAAATAGAGCCGTGTGATATGTAATATTACGAATATTCATATTTCACTAAAAGAGACACTTCAGGACAGAAAACTATAAAGTGAAGTAGCAGTTAATACATAAAATTCAAACCATAATTAACAAATACAATCACTACCTAAAATAAATTATTCAGAAAGACGCAGAGATAAAGGCAATTTTCTTTCCCACATGCTAGGACTAATTCATAAAAGTGCTCTTCCTTTCTTAGTGCTGTTAGAGCAAGGAACGGAAATCCTGTAATTTATAAGATAAGAAGACAAGATACAGTAAGTTAAAAAGACACTATTTTACTTTTAAACAGGTGATTATTGACAGTCAAAAAGTGTGCCAAAGACCTAAGTATAGCAAGTATAGACTGAGACAAGCTAATAGTAATTGTAATGAGTTGATAACACAGCGGCCATGTTTTGTGGTCTTAAACTTGCTACACACACGCACACACACTCATGTCAACGAATGTCCGCAATAGTGTGGCTTATAAGACAAACACTAATTTCAAAATGATTCCTTAGTGTTTTTATATAAACCAACACGGCAACACGAACATGTCAAAAAGACACACTCTGACACACAATTCGGTGAACCCCTGATCTTATTTTGCTAACGAAACCTCCAGGCTAGTTAGCCACCTCCATTAACTGCACAGACCCAATAATGCATAATATAGTAGCTGAATTAAGTTGAAACCAGTCCTGTCTCAAAACATGAGAATTGTATGCTGTCACAAGAGCAGATATTAATTAAAATGTTCAACTGGCAAGATGTGAAAGTGTTTAAGGAATTCCTTGCTTCTTCCTTCCTCTCACGCACACATAATGGACTTAATAGAAATGTAATCTTTCATTTTGTAACGGGTAAATTGATAACAAACTGTTTACGCAGAGCAGACGATCATGGAGTTCATTACAAGATAGTGAGTGTATCATCATTACAATATGTCCTGGGAAACTCCATACTGCAGATACAGCCAGACTCCGGTATTTCCTAAAGGCTAACGTTGGCCATGACCTAAATATACTGAACTTGTGTTGGGACAGAAGGTATAGATAAAACAGTATGACACATATGAATAGTTTTCCTCTTCTATTGTAAAATAGTGTTTCTATTTGTATTGAGACTTAAGGGGTTACTAGGCAAAACTAAAACAAACGGACCTCTATCCCGACAGGCTACTATGGAGATAGTCTCTCCCCAATTCATGAAATTACAGACTTTCCATTTACCAAGCACTTTCAACAAACGAAATTTGTTAACACTGTCTACTTTGTGTTTTCTAAAATAAATGTGTATGAAAATTAGAATATTCATGACATGTAGGTCCTACTTTTAACACTAAAATGCTAAAAACTATTTGAAAATCTTCTTGTAAGACAATTACGTAATCTCTGGTTAAATTAAAATAATATTTTAATTTTGCATTGAACTAAACCCTAACCTTTACTATTCACCTCACTTTGATTTTACGATTCATACGCTTAAGATAAGGGACATAACCAATGTTATTTCTATGTGCAGCTAGATTTATGTATTATGTCCCTTGTCATAACAATTTTCTGCAATGGGTACTGTATAATGCCACGTACACAGCCGCCCAAGGTTACCAGCCAGAATTTGTTAGCTCGGGGAATTCCATCACGCGGCAGAGCTATGTGTCAGAATAAATGTGATTGGTTTTGAAATATTAATTATTGTACATTGAGCTGCATTTATTGGTTGGCATTGCAACGAGGGGATGTTAGACACGTGACAACGCTATACCCGGGGAAAGGATCCTAGATTTTAGTTAGTGTCGTACGGAACGTGTTAGGATTCAGACGTATATTTTACATTATTGTGTAGATCATTTTATTCACCCAGAATTATATTTATTCTGTTCTATTTAAGTACATTTAACCATTGTAATTATTTGTGAATAGCTTTTCCAAGTTTTGAATTAAAGCATTTGTTTTAGACGAGGAGAAGTTTCTTCATTGAATATAGTAACATACTTAGATCGACTTAGCGATTGGCAACTTCTAGATGATCCTCTTATCAACTGGCAACATTCTGAATGATCATATTATCAACTAGATCTAGCTACTTCTATACGATCATCTTATTAAAGACGATTTCAAGATCCTCGGCAATTACGATCATTGATTTTGCTTCAACGTGACATCTTGACATCAAGTTTGATTGTAACATCTAGCACTATTGATGATCGTAACATATAATAATGGTGTAATTGTAAAATGTACGCATGTACTTAGGGGATTTTCATAATTATGTAAATCACAGTAATATTTTAAGACAGTGTTTCTCAAACCTTTAAGCATGACGCCACCCTAGACACAAATAAATGTTTACCCCAATTTTTCCAGTCAGTAAGGAGGTTAAGCGTTTTCCTACATCTAATTTGCAGTAATACGTTTTGCAGTGGTTTAGAGTAGTGGTTCTCAAACTCTGGTCAGAGAACTCTTATGGGTCCATGAGACAACCGTAGGGGATCCACAGAAAGAGTAGAATTGTATACAATTTTTAAAAAAACTTCTTCGCTAACATTCGGATAATTTGAGGACTAATCAACTCGTCCCCTCCTACTGTTGAATGTGTCTAGTACGAATCTTCTACGACCACGTTTTTGTTGGAGTAGAATGTCAATACAACAAATGATTGTTAACAGTCTTGTGATCGAATTGGGGTTTTTTTTGGTCCATGTGTATCAAATTTACTTGTTTTAGAAATCAATCATCATCGGCCTTTAAATTTCTCTGCTTTCTCACGACATTCAAAGAATAAGGCCAATCTTTGTTTTTAAGTTTCCAACCAAGTCCACGATACACTGACACCAGTGCACATTTAATGATTAGTTATTAATGTTATTAATTTATACAGTGGTGATTCGTGTTAGTTTGATATTGTTTCGCTCGCTCAGCTCACCGTTAGATCATGGATAAATATTTGAAGCCTAAGCATACGTCTGAAGAAGGGCAAGAAATTAAAGATTGTAATGGAAATAGTGACGATGAACTGAGACATGATGACGTAAACATTACGTAATTATGCTCCTGAATATTTACAATTTGGATTGCTGCAGTACAAAAGCAAGAGTGATCAGCCACAATGTGTCTCATTGGTTTGAATGTGTTATCGAACAAAACTTTAAAACCTGCTAAACTAAAACTTCATCTAGTAACAAATTATAATGAACTTAAAGACAATTCATAACTTTTTGTAGTGGAGAAGTACAGAAGACACGCAAATCAGCAGAAAATTATTATCCATGCGACAACAGTGAATGAAAAAGCCCTATAGGCCTCATATATTAAGACATTGCCAATAGAGCAGAGCAAATAAAAATCAAGCGGTGTCATAGAGGTTGATTCTGCAAGTGGCTTTAGAAATATGGATTTTAAAAGGTATCTCTAAACTAAAAAAGCTTGAGAACCTCTGGTTTAGAGCGAACTATTCATTCTAGTAAAAAAAAACAAAAAAAAAAACGGGCAATTCAAATAAAGCACAGTATCAATCCTAAAAGGCGAGGTATTTGAGGTACATGAAACGCACGTACGTCTGTGATGGATGTGATTTTATTAAGATGCTCTTCGTTTTATTGAGTTCTCGCTATTCTTAAACAAGCAAAAAAAAAGGGGGGGGGGGGGGCTTACTCAAAAGTGTCCGAGAAGTCGTGAGAAATTGTAAGGTTCCCACATGCGAATAGTATCACTAGGGCTGGGACCTAATAAAATGTCGTCTAGTCAATACAAATTATTTTAATTTTAGCAACATTGGTATTATTGTAAAACCTATTTCATTCATATTGAAACCTAGATGTATAGCTACACTACATTATGTAACATTGATGTGTATTCTTCCGTTGGGGTTGTTGTTTGTCCCTAAAAAAAAATACATACTGCTACTGCGCCGCTCTTGTGAGCTCCATACGACACAATAACACATCGCGCCTCACAATTTGAGAAACTGATTTAAGCAATAAAAAAAGGTTGCGAAGAAAAAGAA